GGGGAGCGACGTGCGCGTCCCCGGTGCCCAGCGGGCTCGAGCAGGCCCCACTCGCGGCCCCGCGCACGCGCGCGCACCCCCAGCTTAACCACGATTGCTCAGGAGCGCGTCCACGCCCTAGAAGCAGGACGCTTAGCCAATCACTGTGGCAGCGTGGGGCATCACGGGAACTCCGGGGCTATAAAAGACCTGGTTGCTATTTTGTGCTCTCCGAGTCACTCATCCTTTAAGTAAGCAGGGTGGGGCTAGGTGCGCTTGCGCGGTTTTAACGCTCCTCCCCAAACTGCCAACTCTTCGCGCAAGCGAGGTAGGCGCTCCTTTCCTGCATCTACGCGTGCGCACTAGCAGGCTTAGCCCCGGAAGACCTTACGCCTGCGCGGTCGAGTCTACGGTGACAGTACCCCGGGTGGGGTGCGGGCCCGTCATGGCGGAGCCTTGGTCTGCGCAGTCCTTGCAGGCTCTGCCGGCCACGGTGCTCGGCGCGCTGGGTGCTCTGGGCAGCGAGTTTCTGCGAGAGTGGGAGGCTCAGGATATGCGCGTGACCCTCTTCAAGGTGCTGCTACTATGGTTGGTGTTAAGTCTCCTGGGCATTCAGCTGGCCTGGGGGTTCTACGGGAACACTGTGACCGGGTTGTATCACCGCCCAGGTGAGGCTCCCTACGAACCTCCGTGGGCTGGCCGCCCTCATCCCCACTGGACTCCACCACTGGGTTCCCTAGAATCTTTCTAGACTACCACTGGCCCCCAACGAGGCTAATCAGAATTTACCGTTGTACTCTGACCCATACCAGTGTATGCCAGAATCCCCGCCAGCTCATCTATTACATTTAACCGTTCCCCAGAACCCGCACCAGACAGCAGCAGTGGCCCCTCACCCAACGTGGGCTGATGCCTGCTCAGATCTCCCAACCCCAACCTGCTGCAGCTCTGGGTGTGTTCCTGCCTGTAGGTCTGGGCGGCCAGAACGGATCCACCCCCGATGGCTCCACAAATCCTTCGTGGTGAGTAACTCTGTCCCACCCCAAACCTGTGCTGCTTGGCAGGCAGAGGTCACTCCTGTGCTGGTGTTGGGGAGGGGAGTTCTCAGGGTCCAAGTCCACCAGCTTAGAGACCTTTGCTGCAAGTTTCAAGACTGCGTGTGGAGCTCAGGCTTCAAGTCAGAGTGACAACCATGTCTGGACAGTTCCATCAGCAGGTCATCCAGCAGCCTGTGGTGTGGGGACTGGTGCTGTCATAATTTCAGAGACACAGAGGGGCCAGTCTTTGGGATTTCACTCTGCAAGTGCATGTGTGGGGAAGACAAGTGCCTCTGTCCTTCATGCCCTTAATATCGTGGCTGACCTCATCGGGGCCCTTCTCATCTGCAAAACTTGAACTCACTAATCAGAGCACTCATTTAGATCATTTCTGGGCTCCGACCACATGGCAGGGGTCACACTGGTCCCAGAGAACAAGGACAACCCTGTTTACAGGCGATGCCAGATTCATAAAGGGGCAGCAGTAAGTAGTGCAGGGACAAAGGTGGTCAGTGAAGGTGGCTTTTAAGAAAGGCACCTAAGCTGAAGTCAAAGGCCAGGAAGTGGCAGTGCACTAGGCAAAGGGAATGGTAACGGGCCTGCACCGCCCTCGTGTTCATATCCCACTCCAGAAATGCTTTCTGGCTGGCAGGACGATGGTCTTTGCAGTCCCAGGCCCACAAGGCACAGAAGCAGGGGCAAGGGTACCTTATTAGGAAACGGCTGCAATGCTGGGGCTTGACCATGAGGACATGGAGAGCCCAGGGAGCCATCGAAGGACTGACTGACTCAGCAAAACTGCAGCCTGATCTGATTTGCCTTTATAATTGCCAGTTTCACGGCACATAGGTAAAGGGGGCCGAGAGCAAGGCCAGGAGGCCAGTGAGGACAGCTGCTAATACCCAGGGAGATGGTGGGCCCAGGGTGGGCTGTGAGACATCAGCAGAGAGGTCTACGTTGTAGTGTGGCCCCCAAGAAGGAACTGAGGAGAGCTGATTCCAGACTGTTCTCCTGCCCACAGAATAATGCTCCTGTCTTCTCTCTTTCCATCTTTTCAGGGAAACAGCAGCAAACGAACCTCTCAAAACTCACAGAGAATAAGGGAAGGCATCAGACAGCTCTCCGGGGCACCTTTGGGTCTGCTGGCTCCTGCATTGGTTTCCGCTGCTTCCCAGACCCCAGGGACAACAGAAGGGGCCTTGGAGTTGGGGACAGGGAGCACCCAGTGCATGTAAGGCTGGGCCTCCACTGCCCTGGGCCTTGCACTAGGTCAGTGATGAGCCTGCCTGCACCCTGATTGGGATGCCTTAAGGAGAAAAGGCACACTCAGAGCTCAGAGAAGCCTCTGGGTTGGAGAGGTCAGCAGTACCTTTTCTGACTTGGCTTTTCCGCATCCCTCTTCCCATCCCCTGGGATGTGACCCCCTAATCTGTCCATCTGAGAGAGAGACTGAGATTGGCCAGCTCTCGGCTTTGTAGGGCTGGGGGAAGTCTATTCTCCCCTCGGCCTGGAGTTTCTTTGGTTTGACTTTGTGGGTAGGGAGCCAGGCAGTCTTGGTCAGCCCTGTACTGACCTATATGGTTACTTAGCTGGCCATGCAGATACGAGGCAGGACGTCCCTGCTGGCCCCACCCACCTGGCCCAACCAGCGCTCTCCAGGTAGGAGCCAGACAGAGAAGATGGTCATTTCCCAACTGTCCTGTTCATATTCCTCTCAGTCCTTCTTAGGGGAAGCTGGGTGCCTTAAAAGTGGTAGATCCCACCCAGGGTGGTCTACCCTCGCTGCCTAAGCACCCATGGGGTGTTGGGTCTGCACCCTGACCCCTCACAGGGAGGTACAGAGCAGTGCAGAGCAATCCCAGCATGCCCTGTAACCTTATCCTAAGGGCCACAGTCTCAGCTCCTTCCGACTCAGCTCCCAGGAACCCTCAACAGGAGAAAGCCAGAGCCCAGGTAGCGCTGCCCTCTTCACAGTGGCCCAGGGCAGCTTCCAAAGATGTGGGTGGCAAGTGCTCCACAGAAACACAGGTTCCTGAAGGCACCGTGGCCCCAGACCTGACCGCGGATGGCCATGCTTCTGACCGCCTCTGCAGGGCCACCAGCTAGCTCAGTGTCCTGCGGGCTGTTTCCTGTTGCACGTCACATGCTTGCCTGGCCGCCTTTGTCTGGGCCATCTTGGCAGAAGGGTGCTGGTCGTCGGGCCGCACCCGGCTCATTCACACACCTTCTGCCGGCAGGATGGTCTCTGCACCCCCAGGCCCACCCACTGCCACCACCACACACAGACTCACAGCCTCCCATTTCGTCCCGGGCTCCATTGAGGACGTGGCTTATTAAACAGAGAAGTACATCATTCGTGTTGTTTTTCAGGCAGGACAACCGTGTGCATGCAGAGTTACCCCCCTGAGCGAGAGGGGCAGCTAGAGCAAGAATGTCCTGGAGTTGTTGGCCCTCCGGACCCAGGAGGCAGGGACGTGCTGTGGTGGAGAAGGTGGGGCCACCTCCCCAGAGAAGCAGGGGGCAGAGAAGGCAGCATATGCCCCTTAGTTCTTGGAGACCTGACCCTTTTCTCAAGGGAAACTTACTCTGACCCTGTCTAGGAGGCGAGGAAGGCAGGCATTGGGTTGGCACCCCCCAGAGAACTGGACAAATAATCAAGCTAGAGACCATGCCAATAAAAAGGAAGGAAGCTTACTTAATATTTTCAAGAGTCAGTGGAGTCCAGTAATGGGCCCCAGGGGCGAAGGTCAGCCCAGGGTAAGGCAAGTCTGGGAAGCGGCCCAGCCTGCCCTGCAACCGCCCCAAGGCTCAGAACAGGTGGTGAGGCTGCTGTGGTTTGCTGCTAGGCAGCCTGGGCCAACTGGGGAATATGGAAGGGTGAGTCCCTGTCCTGTCGGCCAGCCCTGAGCCGCACAGGCACGGCCACCCTGTGGAACCAGCCCTCTGAGTCATGACTTGTTCCTGCCCAGGGAAAGGCATTCATGGAAAGCAAACTGGAAGAGGTGGCCTAAGGCCCACTGCCCATGGTTATGACCCTCCGCAAGGTGAGACACCACAGTGAGGTAGGCTGGGCGGGTTTTAGCCTCCAAAGAGAAGTGAGCCTTTGCTCCAAACCAGCATCTGGCAAAGTGGGAGATGGCAGAACCAGCATGCTCCTTGCCCTCCTGCTGGTGAGGGTCTGGTCAATGGGATTGTAGACTGAAACAGGACAATGGGCCAGTGGTCCATCACTCAGAAGTGGGGTCCTAAAGTTGGAGTGGCATGTGTTTGGGGGTGGGGGGAGTGTGGCCACCTCAGCTAGACAGCTTCCCCTCACTACCCACCCCTGTGAGTTCTAACCCCTTGTAGGACACCTTCAGAGCAAGGTGCCCGCAGGCGAAGGCCCTGCCCAAACCACCCTCACTTGAGGGTGTAGTAGCTCGTGGGCACAAAGGGCATCTTGCTGACCACAGCCATCTGCTGCTTCCGCCGGACCTCTACTAGCAGCGGTGTCCCTGGCCGGCTGTACTCACGGGGCACGTAACCCATCGCCACGTTCTTCTTCAGGCAGGGTGAGGGGCAGCCACTGGTCACAGCACCTGTCCAAGCATGGGCCACGTGTTAGTACCACTCTGCCAGCCCAGTGCCCCACCCTCCTGAGGACTGGTCACCTACCAATCTGGGTACCCTCCAGGGTCAGGATGGCACTGTGCGCCCGCATCGGGGCTCCCTCACACACCAGCCCCACGCGCCGCCGTTGCACCTCGCCCTTCAGCTGGGAAACAATGACGTTGGCTCCAGGGAAGTCCATGGCAGCTCGGCGGCGCCTCCCTGGGGCATGACGGCAGACCTAAGCCACAGCCCACAGAGGCCCCAGCCACAGGAGGACCCCAAGGGACACCCCTCTAGCATCAGGGCCCTTCAAGCGAGCTCTCCCCAGTTCTATTCCTCCCCGGCACTGTAGTCAGTTGGCCAACAGTCTCCTGCCCCTAAGGCCATGCTGCCCACCTTGGCCCTTGGCCCCCGGTGAGCCCTCATTTCTTTTCTGTATTGCCAGAGAGCATTTGCACTCCTCAGAGAGAGAGAGAGAGAGAGCAGCTTCCGATGGGGCAGGCTCATGCCGCAATCCCATCTGTTTTTCCATCCTGTTGGGATTTTTGGTGTGCACACACATGCGCCCAACATGTTTTTTTAAGCCACCAGGGTTGGGAACCAAAATGCAGTTGATAGGACCAGCAGATGGCGTAATGGTTACGTTGCTGGACTCCCATGCGGCTGACTGTGGTTCAAGTCCTGGACCTGGAGGCTTGAAACTCACACCAGATGTGTGTGCGTGCGTACCCAAGGTCCCGAGAGGAGAATGAAGAAGGAGTTGTGATGTGGCCATTCTCCTGCGGGATGATTTTTTGCTTTCTGTCTCTGTCTCTGACTAGTGCATACGCCTGATAGCAAAAATCTCATTTAAAAGATAAATAAATAAAAAACTGCAGCTGGCTGTGTGTGGGATCCGTAGTGTCCCACTTAACCACTAGACTGTGGGGCCAGCCTCGAGGGCCCTCCATTTCTTTGTTTTTGTTGTTTTAGTTTGCTATAGGACATGCGTGCTCGCCAGAGACAGAGAGGGAAGTCCAAAATCGCATCCCCCACCCCCAAGGGCTGTGCTGCAATCCCTTCTCCTCCATTCTCTCAGGCTTCTGGGCACACACAAGCACCCAGCCTGCTTTTTAAGCCACCAGGTCCAGGACTCGAACTGTAGAGTTAGCTGTATGGAATCCAGCTGCCTTAACCTTCATGCCACCTGCTGGCCTTCTCCTCAGTTCTAATAGATGAAGCCACAGTGGCGCCTCCATGGAATGAAAGCTCCAAGTCAGGCGACCTTGGTAGCAGGCATAGGCTGGCTGCTCCCATTATGGCCACTCCCACCTCTAGCACCTCCTCCTCCAGGGCTAACCCAGCTCACCCAATGTCCAACCCAGGCTGCCCTCCACAGGGGTGGTGTGCTCATCGATATCACTCCCATACAGGCAGAGGCCTGCTTCCAGGCGCAGGCTGTCCCGGGCCGCCAGCCCTGCCAACTTCACCTCCGGGTTTTCCAGCAGCGCTGTGGCCAGGTGGACTGCCCCTGCTGGCGGCACTGAGATCTGCATGGGACACCAGACAGCTGGTGGGCAGCTGGCCCCCAGAGCCTTGTGCCCTGTACTCTCCTGCACCCATTTCTCGACCTACCTCCACGCCGTCCTCTCCTGTGTAGCCACAGCGGGTCACGCGGCAGCCGGACACGCCAAACACCTCCGCCACGGCACTGGTCATGAAGGGGAGCTTCCTCAGGTCATCCGCCACGCCGGCCTGCAGCACCTTTGCTGCGGTGGGGCCTGAGCCCAAGGAGCCAGTGACCAAGCGTCCAGGTCCCAGCGCCCCTCAAAGCTGGACTACAGCCCTTCCTCAGGGATGAGCAAGCCCTACTCTGCAAGTGGCAGACAGTGTCCCCACTGCCAGTTCATGGAGCCACATAGTAGGTGGAGGAGGGCAAGACACCCAACTTCAAATCGTGGCACACAACTACCCCCCCCGTCCACACCTTCCTCTTGGCATGGCCTCAGTGCTAGCAGTCGAGGAAGCCAAGAAGGCAAACCCAGCTGGGCTCTCACCTTGCAGCGCCAGAAGGGCATTTTCCACCACCTCCAGGCCCACATCACTGCCCCTGCTCTGAAACTCCTTGACCTTGTCCTAAAAGGAAAGGCGGAAACCCACATCAGCCTCTGGGACCCCTTAAAGAGTACCTGCCATGGCCAGGACACTCCAGCTGGACAAGATAGTGAGCTGGTTCCCATCTCACAAGCACATCCCTACTAAGCAGCAGAGATGACCCCAGGTCTGCCACCTCTCACACCTTTACCAGAGGATGCTCATTTAGGGGCCGGGTCAGCCCCACCTTCCCTGGTTTCCTATCCCCAAGCTCTGGCATGCTCCCGTGAAACCCTGTTCTTGAGTCTCACAACTACTCATTTACTCCAAGAGCCATTTTTTTTTTTTTAGAGGTTTTTGACATAGGGTGCGTGTGCTTGCCAGAAAGACAGAAAGTGAGAAATCACAC